GCTTAAACAGAGCGGGGGAAGATCAAAGACTTACGCTCTACACATGGTTGCGAGAGCACTCAACCGCTCACGATCGACAAACATGTCCATGAGATAGGCTCCCATATTCGGGGTATCGAGGTACAGCTGGAAGAAACGATGGTAGTTCCCGAGTGCAAGGGCAGAACGAACATCCAAGGCATGCTTCACGGCCGGGTCTTTCTTATCTTCTGCAGTCACGTCGGCTAGTGCGTCGTTCATCGCCGTCCAGTTTCGGGTGTAAATGAAATAAAGAATACGATAGGCCTTGAATTCCGTCGGGTGTCCCCCCAGCTGCTGCGCATACAGCACTCGTAGCTGGGTCTGGCACTGGTTGTACTCACCAAGATCCCCTTTTTCCAAGGCGATGCGCGCGTGGATTTCGTAGACAACGACGGTGAATTCATTTCGGATGCGTTGAACCGTTAGGTCTTGACGCAAAGACTTGAACTGGTCACAGATGTAACCGTAGTTGCCATCGTGCTTCCATTTTCTCTTCAATAGATCCAGGGCCTTTTGCAAAACCGGCAGAGGACGAACGCTGTCCGGGTTGGGAGCGGAGGTCAAACGGAAGTAATTCTTCTCCAAGGTTTGGCATCGCCCGACAACGGGGCCTTGATCCGCGTCGGCAGCACGCATCGGCGATCCTGCAGAAGAGGGAGAGTTCCCGCTGGCCCCTAGTCCCTCAAAACGCTTCCTCCTCATCTCCAAATTAGCTTTGGACTTACTAGACTGGTCCAGTGTTATGCGTGGTTTTTTCTCTGTGGTAGGGTGAGTAACTCGATCTTCAAAACGATTGCGGTTAGCTTTTCTCCATGGTGGCGATCCAGTCTCCGAATGATGGCCATCAGTTGACTTTCGCTTCCGTGTGGCATCCCCCGGAGAAATTGGGTGACTGGACGCCCAATTTGAAGAACTGGGGTTGGCCAGGATTTTGTTGCGTTCATTTTGCACCATAGTTTGGGGCAAAGGTAGCCTTTCCCAGTCGATCAATCCCAGCTTGTCATTCTGGGCTGCGTCCGTAATGACGTGTCTCAACTTCTCCTGCATTTCAGGAATGCTCACACTTGCAACCTGGTTTTCGGGAGCAAAACAGCGTTGCACATACGAGCGTACTGGTGGTGGGAACTCCACTCGTGCCCGGGCTTCTGTATCCGGTGATGCCGACTGGGTGGGCTGGGGAGGAATGGTCCCATTCATTGGCTTGGTATGATGGGCGAGGCTACGACGCGCTTGGACTGGAGTGTATGCTGGAGCCGCTGTCAGGTTGTTAGCCTCCTGACACAGGACTAACCAGACTCGGGTCGGATTATTCATCTTACCAGCTGGAGGAAATGCACTAGACATTGTGCCTGGAGCGGTAGAGCGCCAAGGTGGTACGCTGGAACTCATCGTAGATGCAAGATTTGAAAGAAAAAAAAAAAAACAAAGAAACAAGATGAAAGGAAGTAAAGAGCTACGAAGGGGGAGGACTCGAGGCACGGCTGGAAGAATCAAAATTCGATCTTACTCCTCGGCTGGTACTGGATTTGAGATGAGAGAAAAGGATGATGAACGTTTATTTTCAAGATGAGATGGTCACGAGCCAGGGAAGTGTAAGAGTGTAGTCCACACAGACTCGACCCGTGACGGTGAGTGATGCTCGCTTACTCACCGGGATTTCGTTTGTCCGATCGTCCCGCCTTATCGCCTTATCGCAATCGCCTTGGCTTCCAAGGTTAAGTGACATCCATGGATGCCTCTCTCTCTTTATGGATCTCCTTGATATTGGGAGTTGGTTGAACCTACTAGATGTTCTTCAAGTCGCTGGATCTGACTACTGCGCTCAGACCACTACTGTTACCAGATGAGATCCTTCTCTTTGTCCAGGACGCGGTGGGGTTGTATGAAGGGTAAGTACCTCATGATGATGCTCCTAATGCGGGGTGCTAATTAGAGGCAAAGGAAATACAAAATCCAGAATTATCAAAATGGCCATGCCTATCTCACATCGCACAGAGTGTGCTATGTTGCGGCCGAGGATCCGCGGAAGTACTCAGTGGCTATTGATTTGAAAGAACTCGATCGAGTGGAATCTCAGGTGCGACATGCATACATCTTGCTTTCGAGGCTTCTCCTCCCAGCCAATCACTAACAAACTCATGGATTCAAGGCTGGCTTTCTGAAGTCATCTCCGAAGGTCACCATATACTCCAAACCACAGAAGAAGACCGATAAGCTGAGGAGCGCAACAACCAGCCCGGCTGTAGCGCAACAATCGGCCCTTCATCCAGCGCACTCACTTTCTCATCTTCCACAAACGAGCCTCCCACAGAGCTCACCATCTCCAAAGCCTATTAATGCTACTTGGATCTGTCCCATATGCTCATTCTCCAACCCGGTTCCGTCCAATTTCGACCCCGCAACGGCTAGTGCGGCTACAAATTTACCTCCTTGTCTAGCATGTGGCATCAAACCTCCATTCACGACTGTTCTCAAAGCAGCGATCAATGCTGTAACAAGCCGGGAGTCTCCGTTGCTGAATCCGGTTGCATCACCAGCCATTGCCCAAGATACAGGCCAACTAAATCCCAACGCGTCTCTATCGCCTTTTGGTTCCGGGGGAACTGTCTCTTGCCCACGATGTACCTTTGTGAATCATCCATCTCTCGTGGAATGCGAGATTTGTGGAGCGCCTCTATCTGCTGGCTCCTCAGCGAGCGCCAATCGTGTGGACTCCCCTGCACCGTTATTTGAGCAATCGCACATCGCAAACACGGAGGTTAGTGAGTGTATTAAACTGTCATTTCGTGCAGGTGGCGATAAGACTTTTTATGAAAGACTGAAGGGGGCCTTGGTGCAAAGAAAGTGGCTCCTGCAAAATGCGCCCCCAGTGCCTTCACCATCGCAAGGCGACTCATCGCCAGGCTTAAATTCCCCTGCCCCTAGCGTTGAAAGCCCTCTACCCTCAGTACCAAGAACCTCCGGGGTTGGTATTGCGGGACTAGAACGCAGGGGGCTGGAAGCCCGGAGGAAAAACGAGCTGGTCATAGGGAATGCCTTCGAAGATCTAGAGGCTTTAATGGCCTCTGCCAAGCAGATCGTTGCGCTGGCCGAAACTCTAGCGCGCGAGTCTGGCATGGCGACAAACGAAGGCTCGCCAGAAACCAGCGCGGTGCTATCTGAGTCCGCTGCTGCTCTGGGGATGGTAACAACCAAAGACATGCTTAGTTCCGGATCTGAAAGTTTATATTTATCAGAACTTGCGCGTGACCTGGCCGAGTATCTCACTGATGATCGAAAAGGCATTTTGCAGCGGGAAGGTGGGATTATGAGTCTAATTGATCTCTGGGCTGTCTTCAACCGCTCCCGTAATGGAGTAGAATTGGCCAGTCCTTCAGATTTTCAGAAAGCAGCGGAGCTGTGGGAAAAGCTCAAGTTGCCAGTTCGTCTTCGGCGATTCAAAAGTGGTCTCCTTGTGGTGCAGCGATATGACTGGAGCGACGAGAAGACCATTGAAAAGCTTCAGGCCTGGATGCAGGAGCTCCGACGAGTTCCCCCTGATGATCCTGTTCCATGGGATTGGTCCCTCTTTGGTCAGGCCGTTACTGCCCAAGAAGCTGCGCATCGATTCAAGTGGAGCGTTGGGGTGGCTGCCGAAGAGCTGGAGATGGCTGAAGATCGGGGGGTTCTCTGTCGAGAAGAAGGAATTGAGGGTCTGCGCTTCTGGCGCAATTATATCTCATCCCCTGAGTATGATGATCTCTCCCGCCTTCTTATTTGAGGCGGTGTGAATCCACAGGAATGTACATACAGAGTTGCATACACCGTTGACCGGAGGGGGCTGTGGCCATGCCCATGCCGAGCTCAATGAAATGTCGCATGGAACATATCTGGGATCAGAGCACAAGGCTGAGAGCCTTTTGCAACCCCCACTATGATGGTGATCCTAGCTAAGTGCTACGTAGTGTGTATACAGCTAGGCTTTCAATGCGCCAAGAGCAAAACATATTGCCAAGAGCGCTAGATGCCATGTGAATGCTGTCACTGCATACTAGACCTACAGTCATTAATGCTTCTACTTACACATGGGACCAATGAGACACCACTCCGGCGGATATCTCATTGCATGCCGTTTAAGGGAAACAGAAAGACCGGAGAAATAATTCCATCCAATAGATATCCAAGCCACAGATCCTAGATAGGATAGAGGTCGTTTATTAACCTATTCTGGTATGTCCTAAGTTAGCAATCGACTACTATTTCTGACCGTTGCGCGGTATTGGTATGCTTATGTATAGCCCTGGGCAATGATCCACACTACCTGAGCTCGGGGCTTGCAAAGTATGCACACCTTGCATAGTTTATCACGAATCACACGTAGCTTATGAGATAGTCGAGCAATGGGGCTGGCAATTGGCTACCATGGGTTTTATTTATTTGAGTACAGTTGCCTGATATGAAATTTCTGGACAACATGTATATACACATATATACGTCCGTAGTTCTATGGTCCGCTACTATCATTTCCCTTCGAATTTGAGTTGGATGCTTATTTCCCACAACTATATGAAGGACCAACTAGTCAATCACGTTATAAACTTACGCTCCAAGCCAGGAGTCAAGCATGACTTCAGATAATTGATATCCCATCTAGAGTTCGGCCCCCGGGGAGCCCTGCCCAGGTGGAGGACGAGACCGCTGACATAATCATATAAAATCGCCCGGCCTCAAAGCGGTGACCCCACAGATCTTCCCGTACCGATAGATCCACAAGAACCAAAGTCCACTTGCTTCTTTAATCTCACCAAGAGCAATCAGCTCTTACATGCTTGGCCTCAGGTCGAAGCTTGCTCAGAGTTGTACAACTTGAGTTTCGCCCCCACACCTCTGGAGGCTGAGTGAGAGTTGTTCCTTGATGATGCCCTCTTTACACTAGATGGTCTGCCCATCCGCGCTAACCGGCCCATGGTTTTTGCTTTTCACCAAGTTCAAATTTGAAAATGCTTGGGCAATCCACCGAGGAATCTGATTTCAGCTCGCCTTCCATACATTTTGCGCAGGAACGTCGGAAGTCCCAATCCCGCGTTATGACCAAGAAAGAAAATTCCCATCCCTCCGGGCGATTGGCCTGTGATATTTGTCGGGAGCGTAAGTGCTTTATGAACTCACTCCAGAAAAAGAGATAACTGAAATGAAAAATTCAGGCAAGGTTGGGTGTGATCTGGCAGACCCAAAGGGCGGTCGTTGCACACGCCTTGGCTACGACTGCAGCTACCAAGGACGGAAACGACGCCGCGCCGCCAAGGCGGATCTGCCACGTCAACTATCCGAACTACAGGATCGACTAAGTATTTACCCATCTCTTGATGTATCTCACTGGTCCTGGGATCTATCTAATTAGACGGCATGTACCACAGCACAAGCCGAGGCAATGCTTCAAAGTTCCGCGGCGTCCACTACTCCAGTGACGTTCCCTCCGCAGGGCGAATCGTTCTGGCCCCAGATCTCACCACCAGAGCCATTCGGAGACCACGAGAGGCTAATGCATCGTCTCCAAAACTACGCGACTGGTCCAATGGATCGTGGGTTCGAGGGCTTCGACTTGTTGACTAACCTCACGGAAGATATTCCTGGCTTTGGGGGAACTATCGATCCAGCTTTGACATCAGAGATCATTCCGCTCCCACAAGAGGACAATACACCGCTACCATTCCCGCTCGGGAGTAATTATCTCCTGGCGGGAAACTCAACGTCCCCTAATTTCAACGATCCTTTCTTCCCATCAACCCCGGTGCTCGATGAATTGATCTCGCCACAAGATATTGAAATACTTTACCGTGATAAGCAACCCTCCCGCACGCCCCTTGGCTTGCCCAAAAACTGAAAGAAAAGGGGAATATAATAAGTCGTGGCCGTGAATGTCATTAGCAAATATGATTTCCCATGAGTCCAACATGACAACCACCTACCAGCACAATTCCAGACACCAGGAACATTTGCAGCTGCAAATTCACCAAGATGGTTTTTTTTTGGAGAAAATGAGCAGGATACAATCGACTATCCCTGTGCACGCCCGGATGGTGTTTTGCCATGCCCACAGAAACGATCATGAGGACTCCGCTCACAACCCAGAGTGCAATTTCATTTCCAGATCTCCATGCGAACAAGGTTCTGCCGAAGGTTATGGCCATAATGAGACAAGCAGATCCTGCGAGGAACACCGTCGTCATAATCCAGTCGACTATTTTGAGCTTCTCGTGTAAGGTATTTTCTGGCTTGGGGTCCACGCTGGGAATCAAGAAGATATAGGATGGGCTGAATAGAGCTCCGATCGGGAGATTAATGTAAAAAGCTTAGAACCGCCTCTTGTCAGCTCAAAATAATCAATCGCTGATAAAATTATTCAGCTTCACTCACCCATCGCCAAGTCGCCGAGCTGTCCGCAAAGGCACCGCCGACCTAATATCAAATCAACTGGATTGCCAATCTAGACCGCGAGAGAGGGGAATTTACCACAGGGCCAAGCACACTGCTAATTTCCCAAATGACAGTACTTCCAGCCATGTAGATAGGCCTCTCCTCGATCGAAGTCAACATAGCCACAAAGCTCAACGTACCAGAGTACATCCCGGATCCACCAATGCCGGCAACGACTCTCCCAACTATCAGCGCAGTCATATTGGGAGCCGCACCACACACTGCGCTACCGACTTCAAAAAGCACAACATTGAACAAGTAAACCCATTTTGCATTAAAAACGCCGTAGACCTTGTCCCATGGTAGCACATACATCGTGCCTGGAGCGAAGCCAACTCCAATCCAAGGTAGGAGGGAGACTTGGCCGAATAGATCGAGAACTGTGGGTTGGATGTCTGCCACCTAGGATGCATTAGCTGGTGTGTAGTTTGACCTTTTTCGTGTTTGCTTGGCTGGGAACATACGATGGTGTTGTCCAGGGCGAAGAGAAATGTGGTTGATATCATGGATGCATAGGCGATTGCCCACTAAATCGTGTGTGGATTAGTAGTGTAACGCATATGCTCTTAGTAGAAAGAGTACTTTACCTTCCAGCCATGAATTGGCCGAGGAGAGGCATCTTTGGGAAGCACATTCTCACTGGAGTTTGTGCTTGAGACGTTGTTGTAGCTATCGCTACGTACTCTTTCTACTTTTTCGGGGTATTGTTGGTGTCCATAATGATACAAATGAGGGAGATATATGTGGGCTAGAAAAGCAGGGAACAGCGCAATGATGAATGCGATTTCTCTCTAGTTATATAGTAGCGAACTACCCGTTCTTAGGGCTCAGAGCGGCCGCTCCACCACCGTACCGTGTCTTGGCGGTATTTTGGCAAGGAGAAGCGGCCGCCTCAACTCCGTCGAAGCTTAACCCTCTCCCCATCAAATCGAACACCATCGGTATGTTCAGAGTGACAGCAAATATCGAAAATGGGCCAGTGGAACTCTCCTGAACCACCTAGTCTACCTTCTTTCTAGCCTTGAGCAGCTGATAGACGGTATCATACGATGACCTCGACGCTCCCACCACGGTCGCTCGTTGGATCTTGTCACTCTCGATCCGGGCAAGACTGCCTGCTATTTCCAGTGAGTGGATGACAGTCTTGTCAAAACTCTTGCGGGCCCAGGCCGGTCGAATAGGGCTGGAGTTTGCGCCCGGGGCATAGATTAACTTGTCACACTCTATCGATCTCTCCCCCGACTGTATTTCCACAATCCAGCCGTTTCCGCTATTGGTCCAGCGCACCTTCGTAATGCGGGTGCGGAGACGAAGCCGATACATCAGATCGTGGTCCTCCGCGAAACTGGCGAGGTAATTGTGGATTGCTTACCCGGAGATGAAGCCATCTGGGGATATTCCCTCATTTTTCATCGGGTAGAAAGAATACTCGAAGAGTGGAAAGCTGATATGCGCATGAAGGCTGGGGTAAATGCGCCCTTGGCTCCAGACCCCCCAACTGTGCTAATGTCGTCAAATATGAGGATGTTGGTCTCCGGGGCAAGTTTGAGATATGTTTGTGCTGCGCGCAGTCCGTACCAGCCTGTCTAGCTTAGCTTTAAGTCATCGATGGAGGAGTAACGTTGGACTCACCAGCACCCACCACAAGAACTCCGCACAACTATAAGATGACTAGGTAGGATACATGTGTTCGCATGAAAAAGAAACGAAGACTCATTAAACCTGGATGGCAATTTTCTAGTCTAGAACTCAAATTCCAATGACTGGCTTGCAATAATGGTAGAATCGCAAAAAAGAAACCGAAAACTGCCATTGATACAACCTACTCTCGACGACGTCGGTCCGACTCAAACACAGTGAACCCATCAATTCCACGCCCATCCTTTCCGCCGGTGCGGAAGAACTCGATCATGACTCCAATAGCATAACACGTCGCTGCGGTAGCTGTGCCTGCAACGAGCATTCTACGACCTGTTTTGCGAAACGAAGACTTAGACTTTGTGGTTGATTCGGGCTCAGAACTAAAGGATCCCGTTTTTGAACGAGGCTAAGTCGATATGTTAGGAAGCCACTTGAATAGACAGTTCTACTGTCTACTCACCTCAGTGGTGGATTGCCAGGGAGCTCCGGCGTATTTGGCGGCGGGGTCCGTCGAGTCGTGACGAAGATGTCTGGCAATCTTGGTGTGAACTACTGGTTGTTGGTCGGTTGCGGTGTTTGAGAGGGTGTGGCAAGGAGTGGGTTGAGACTTTCGGAAGACAAGGATGTTGCCTCCGCCAGTTGCAATTTCGTAGCCACCTTCTTGCATTTTCTCAAAATAGGGCAGGAATTTGGCAGGGTTGTGCAGTTGAGACAAAATTTTACTTGGCCGATTATCTTCTTCGTCGACACCGAAGAATGAGTCCGCTTGGGCAGCTATGACTTGTGATGTCGACGTATCGAACGCAAGAATATGGAATTTAGGGGAAATGGAGGCTGCTGGTTGCTCTCCTTTCTCGGTGGGTAGCTTCTGACTTTGGAGAATGAAATCACTAATGTTTCCTTCGGAAGAACCGAAATCCAACGGACTAGCTTGCACCTTCGGTTTCAAAGGAGCGCAATGAGATCGAATGTCAGTATCACTCAAAGCGCTCAGGTCCTCATTCTCATTGGGACCCTCGGCACTCGCCATCTCCGTAATGAATTTTGCCTCCAGTTCATTTCCGGGTGTACAATCCACAATATTCTTGGTCATCTTGGAAGTACCAAGACTAGAGCGTAATGCTGGTTGTGATCGCATTTTCTCAATTGAAGCCGAATTGTAGATGAACTTGGGTTCTAATTCGTTCCCAGGAGGACAATCGATAGAGGTCTGGGCTCCCGATTGGGCACTAGCCTGACTGGATGACTCTAATAAATGTGATTCAATCTCACTACCTGGAGAGCATTCAAGGCTTGCTTGAGGGTCTGCCGTGGGGGCTGTGTTAGTCGTTTGATGCACAGGACCGGCGGACTCAAGACCAAGACCAGCGAGCTCAGAAGAAAGCTTTGTGTCCAGCTCGTTACCTGGTGGGCAATCAATTGAAATGCCAATTTGCTTGTTCGGTGTTTGTGTCGCCAACGCAGACCGAGAACACTGGACAGAGCGGCTAGTGGGATCGGAGATGAACTTGGCCTCCAGCTCACTTCCCGGAGAGCATTCCATGTCGTTGCCCGCAGTCACACCAGCATCCAAATTCAGTTTATCAGTGTTTCCATTGACACCGGATGTGCCCGACTGAGTCTCTGCAGAAGGAATAGACTCAGAAACAAAGAATGTCTCCAACTCACTTCCAGGAGGGCAATCGATGTTTACATACGGCTTTCGTTCGGTCTCTTGAGGAGCTTGAGCCCTGCCCTGCGCATCTTGAGAGGCGGGTGTTGAGGTAAAGACTGCATCAATTTCGCTGCCCGGGGGCAGTCAACTGTTGACTGTGAGCTTGACGGGGCTTCGGGACTCAATCCCGTGTTTCCTGGCTGAAATGGTTCATCCTCAGCCAGATTGGGGTTGTGAGCGAATTTTGACTTGACTTTAGTGCCTAGTGGGCAGTCAACCGCTTTATGGGAGTAGACCTTTGCTTCCCTGTTACTGGATTCGAAAGTAGTGGACGATTGTATCGGCACCATACGTCCACTGATAGGGTCGTACTGGAGTCCAGTGTGATTGTTGTCACTTCTCTTTTGCCGCTTGTCTACTCTCGATCTAACATTTGGTGACTTTTCCATACTGGAAAGCGGCAGGAAGACATCGTTCAATGAAGTGTCGTTCTTTCTGAAATTCTGAAAGGGGTTCAATCCGCGCCCAAAGACGGCTCTGTAAGGGTCTGCCTCTATGTACTTTTTCAACAACTCCATGCGTTTGTGCATCTGCCCTAGATCCGAATTCCAGAGCCTTATCTCTAGCTCAGCTGGGAGTTCGGAAAACCTTGACTGGGAACGCCAAGCTGCCCAGCTCCTGGTTGAGTGTGTGTCATTGCGAATTTCGGGCTTTCGCTGATTATATATAGGGTATCGCTGATATTTGTTGAGATTTCGCGAGATATGGCCTGCCTTGTCTCCCTGCCCGTCTCGTGCACATCGCCATATACTCCGATTTGAAGTATGTGTGGCCACCAATTGGGAAGAAGCCGGGCGAATGACTCGAGGCCCCGACTTTCTGATTGACATGGCAACCGAGGAACTCATGATGAGACCCCCAAGCTTGTATGTAAAAGCTCAAGGTATTGCTTATTCCAAGCAATTTATTCTAGCGCTAGTTATTGAAGGTCTGATGATTCTGTTATCAATGGCTCCCGTCCACTTGTCGATCGGATCCACTTATGGAGTACAGTGATAAGAGTACCGATTCCGAGTCTGCATGCAGAGGCCTTTCAAAAATAAGAATGACCAAAATAGATAGGACAAGTAGATGTCAGATCTCACAGTTGAAGAAATGAAAAGGATGGATAAAATAAAGGACCACAGGACTCCGGATCAGCATTGGGGGCAACAGCCAATCGGCGACGGCTCAATTACCCCGCAAATTTATGTCAGCATTGACGTCATGAACATATGCTTGCCTGAATACGGAGTGTACAACTTATAGCTAGAATAAAATAGAGAATAGTTCAACAAAAAGATTAAGACAATGATATCTCTCATTCCTCAGGCAACATTGAGTCCAGGCAATGCATGGCTCGCACCCCGAGACAAAATCTACAAAAGCGTCGAAGTAAGGCACAAGAACCCAACAAGCAAAGGCCAAAGCGACTGCACCTCTCCATTCCAATGTCAGCGTAAAGACCGCCTACCTTCACAATAGTCCTGACTCTCTACAATCGGGAATCCTAGTAAGATTACATCGCAGCACTAATTTCGACACCGGTGGGCTTCTCACTCGGATGCCGACTGAGCAGCTCGTGGGGTTTGTTCGCGATAACGACAACATCTTCCATATCTATGCACCCGTCCAGGGCGAAGTTGGGTGTTACCTAAAATGATCAGACATAAAGGTTCTCACTTCAAAGCAGACTCTTTACACAGAGCAGCGAGCGAGTGGTTGATGCTCTAGGTTTTATACCTTATGGCTCGCGTCGCCTACCATTACAGTCCGTCCAAAGACCAGTGGTCCAAAACACCTTCTTCGAGAGATATCATCTGCGCTCTAGTGCGAGTCTGCCACATTTCACCAAATATCACTGATTCACAGATGGGATGATATGCAAGCTTCTGTGCCAGCGCCTCCATGTCTTCCTCTGTGAGCCGAGCCCAATTCAACCATACACACTGCTGGTCCTTGGGGGGCTTGTAGTGCACGATGAATGAGAGAAATGTCGGTTGACATAGAAGCAAAAAGGAGAACCAGTCGTTGGAGATGGAGTGCATGTCCCGTGGGCCTAATCCGGGGATGAGCGGGTACTGCGCGACAATAGCTTTTTAGGTGGTTACCATAGCTAGACGAACAATCGCCAGATTTCAGAATCAACATTGCTTTCGAGAACACGGGAGATGAACTTGGTACATCGTTTCTCCGCAACAGAGATGTAATGGGGGATTGCCTGGTTGGCATTTTCCCACATGATCTCGCGCACTTTGCTATGCACTCCATCAGTCCCAACCACCCGATCACCAATGTACTCAGTTCCATCCGCCAAGACTACCCGGGTGGAGTTTTCTCCTCGGCAATGTCAACCACGCGGCGACGTTCAAGAAGTTTCGACTTGTCGGGAAGATATGTGACTCACTACTTCTGAACAATAGGAGAAAAGGCGTTCTCCAGGAAACACTTTCCACTTCGGGTCCGGTAATAATCTTCCCATGGTCGAGCAGCTTTCCATCCCTTTCTGGAGCATGCAAATTGATGCAAAAACCGACATCCGTGTGGATGCAGAGTAATGGTTGTTCCAAACGGTGGTGCCACTACACCTTTGTCGAGAAGAACATAGTCCACTTGGGATTTCTCGAGGCAATGACCCAAAGTCAACCTGGCGACTCCGGCTCCAACAATGATGACTCGGAAGGGGGTCTCACCCGGGAGGGGTGTGGATTCAAATTTGGGGGCTATCATATCGAGGGGTTATTCCAGGGAGAGTGATACACGATACGAAGCCTGCTGCGCTTGATTACATTCACATTTCCTGTGAGAAAACCACCCTGTTTATGACACTTGCATATGCACCATTACAGAGGTCTTTCACATTCCATGCCATATCCTTATCCAGCATAGCTAACACGGAGAAGTGCTGGCTTTCTCAGTTAGATCTAAGACCGGACTTCTGTTTTGCGGGCCCAATATGCCCGGTGGACGGTGACGCGGACATGGTGCGGCCGCGACCAAACACCCGATTACCCCGACGGCCGTTGCCATTTTTGCAATTCACAATCCAATCTATACGAGGTTAATTCCCTTGGTAGCCCTATTATCAATATGGGCTCGCTTGGCAATTGGCGATATTTCTATTTTGAGCATCACATCTAGTCTCTCATCGAAATGATTCTTCCCATGCCATACCACCTCCTTATCCTAGAAGCACTTGGCGTTACCTTCATTGGGGGTTCATCTGGTATTGGGGGAAGATGTTTGACAATTTCGATGCCATTGTCGCCTCGGGTCATCTTTCAGGTGGACGCACTATGCGAATGACCTACATTGACCTACATGGGGATCAAGGTGCTGGATCAGCAAATGACGCCTGTGATTGCATTTTACAAACCCCTCAGCAATAATAAATCCGTTGGGCCTCGAATGCTGTTCTTTCATATCAACTTTTTTTAATCGCTTGTAGCAATATTTGGGTTTTGATTGAGAGTCGGAGACAGAGTGTGATATCTTACGTTTTGAAATAGTATGTGTCCACCAATTTCGTCCCATCCACTGCCGGTGACATACTAATCAATAGATAAGCCAGTTCCTCTTCGTCATACTCTGGCAGTTCATCGGGGCAGCTCTTGTGCAGCCTCAATATCTCTTTTTGGTGATCCAGCAGAGTAAACAGCTACGGGCCCAACCCTCCCCAAAAACGAAGCCATGGCAATCTTTGCTACAAGCATCGCAACAATACTCTATCCCCTCTTTATCCCACCATGGCTGCAAGCCAGCGAGTGGGCATACCATGGGTATATTGCACTTTTTCATTCAACTCCTCTACTAATTACTTCCTTTTTCGTCGTCTGATCCCAATTCCTAGGCTGGGACAGTTGCTGGTGCAGTACATCTACTTACTATGAGTGCCAGTCTCAAGACACTCAATACAGACGCAACATTTGTCCCGGTCTTTATTCCAACCTGGAAGCGACTGGCTGCAGCAAATACATTGTCTCTCTCGTGGACTGGCCGCGGAGGTAATAGCTCCAGCACAATCGGGTTCGCTGATCCTCCAGGTAGATAGGTCAACGGAAATCCTGGAGCAATTCTATCTGTTTGGTCAGTTTGATTGGCTTGTGGTGAGCACGAGCTGTGCTGTCTTCGTTTACATTCTTCTTTCCATGACGAGAGGGAGCAAGGTTGGGTTGGAGCTCGCGTTATCTCGCATCAAGGGGGGAATGTCTGCAATAGGAAAGACTGATTTGATGCTTCTCTTCTTCAGCGTTATAGTACTAGGGCCTGGGGCAGCGGGGTCGTTTGGATTGGCGGTGCGCGAGTCGAGGCTGAGATAACAATTCAACAGGGCCAGGAAGCTGCACTGATGGAGAGCACTCACTGCCCAGTGGTTTGTTTTTGATCGAATTAGTCTTGAACTACCAGTATTTTTGCTCTCATCAATTTCTCCAGAAACATTTGAGATAAAAAATAGTAGTCAAAGACAATTACTACGACAACTATAAGGTAAAGAAGAATATGTGCTGATTTTCGATTTTCATGCCTCTTGCTCAATTATGTCTTTGTTGCTTGTCAAGATATATAATCACCAACATGTATAAATCGCTTCTCCATATTCGAGTAGAAAACAGTCATCTATGCTAAATTACTTTGAAAATGAAAATCATTCACACCCATTCCTCGCCATCACGTAGACTGCTCCGAGGTCGGTGGTCACTGTGGGGAAAAGGACGTTATCGGGAAACTCCCCACAGAATCCCGGGGGGCCAAATAATTTGAATCTCAACAAATTCTGCTTTTTGACTTCAATTCATTCCTCAAATCCCACAAAATGTCCAAGCCAACACGTACCGCCGTCAGCACTAAGGGTGCACCCCTCCCGCCCCCAATCCTATCCCAAGGTTTGGTCGTCGGCAACGTCGTCTACTGCTCTGGCCAGTTGGGAGTAGACCCTATCACGGGTGAAATGGTGGAGGGAACCATTCAGGACCGAACAGTATGTGAGACGCGATATTCTGATGCATATATTTTCTGAACTGTAAACAGCGACAAATCCTACGCAACCTCAACGCCGTCCTAGAGGCTGGAGGATCGAGTCTCCACGACGCAATCAAGGTCAACATCTTCCTCACCGATATGGCTGATTTCTCGGCTGTGAACGAAGTCTACTCTACTTTCTTCTCGGATCCTAAGCCGGTATGTCCTATCTGATCAAAAACCAAAAAGAGACGAGATTCAAATTCCATGTTTGGAATTCCTCCCCTCTATTATTTTCTGAAAGATTCTCATAATGCCCCTTCTAGGTGCGTACTTGCATTGCCGTCAAGTCCCTCCCTAAGGGATCGGATGTCGAAATCGAGTGTTCTGGCCTGGTTACAAAGCCTAGCAATGGACGCAGTTCTAGACTTTGAGAAACTGGAACGACGTGGAGAAGGCAGACAACTCCACCTGACGTGGCTCTTTGGCAAAAGAATGGAATGTGCGAGATCACATGATCTATGTATAATTTACAGCCTGTTTGGAAAGATTACGATATGATAGGCATTGACTGCTTGTAAACTTTGTTCAGCGCCTTTCAATAAATACAGGCCAAAACCAAGGATGAAGGGTGGGGACTGGAGAGCTGGAGTCAGGAACAGGGTTAGCGTTTGTACTCGTCCATGGTACACTTGATGAGCCCCTGGAAGTATATTGTATAAAACTCTTAAATACCGGGAGCATACTCCGTACATGAACGCTTAATATTGTGGTCTTCAAGCCAAACCTCTGATCTGGGATCAAAGAAAGAGAATGTGGCTGAGTCAACTATAATTAAACCCGTGGATTATGGCCCTCGCATAAGCTTGTATGCTCGGTTCCTGCATTTACAAAGGCTTTCCGATCTCGAGGTTTCATGCATGCAGCCACAAGCCCTTGCACAAATCTAAAGAGGCAAGATTTGTAGTAACAGAAGGGGAAAAAAAAAAAAACCCTAGAATTTGGCGAAAGATAACGAGGCTGTTTCTCGGCTTAATTGGTTTCATATCATTTGACATTGGCACAATCTCAAACACACTAGGAATGCTGAGCATCTGAAAATGACGACAAGAATGAGGGGAAGTCGCTGCCAACTCCTCCATTCCGATCGGGGGTGCACGTGGTGTATATCATTATTTGAAAATTGAAAGCTCAATCAACTTCGGATCCAGGGTATGTAGAATATCTCAACTATGAGCAGGTGTTCGTGTCAGTTGCTTTTATTAATCTATTATTCTGGAGACAAAACCTGAAGCTTCGATAGGGTGAAACATTCTTAATATCTGCCGGGTTTTCATGATCCCATTTGAGGGCTCATCCCCTACTTCCCATAGTGGATTGAATGATATCGCACAGTGTATGACTCGCCAGCTAGGATAATTCTGTCTCACGAGACTTCAAAAAGAACCTTGTGGCTCGTTCACAGAACGCTCTCTTACCGAGTCTCAGCGGCTAGTCAGCACACGCTGATTCGATCTCTTTGTTGATCCTAGGCCAGAAGAAGCCAAGCGCGCAAGACTGGGCTTGGGTAACGATAATGGTAATATGAGCCGGGTGCCTGGCGAATAGCTGTGTACGTTGTAGGGAGGTAAAGACAAGGGTTGTAATTAAAGCCACGCACTTTTGATTCTCGACACGCTCAGGAACGCGTGTGGGAAAGACCCACTTAGTTGGACGCCTCCGGGCTAGACCTTACGGCCTAAACTTGAATAGGAATGGTCTCTTGACGTGCGCGTTTTTCTTTTACCCTATTTCCTTATTTTTATATTATGATGCGCGGCTTAGGTGGGTTTAGCTCTGACTCCATATTCAATAGTCGGGCTAATGGGATTGATCTTAAATGAAAAACGCTTTCTAGACCCTCGGACTTTTTATGTAATTTTCTTTTTTGCAGATTCAGTGCCATTGTCTTACATTGTTCAAAAACTCAATTTTGATACTTGCATCGAATTTGATATGTAGTAATCCGTATCTGACATTAGATAAAATATGTGCAATATAGCAAATGATTTAAGTACTAGTTCAATTCAGATATATTGATGTACAATCACATCATGCTCGTTGATCGTCGATCGTGATCGTGGCCAGAAGATATTTCAGATATCATTGTCGCACGAACGGCGTAATGGGAAAAGAAACCCCAAATATGGTCCAAGTACCTATATAGTAGTCTCTATACTGTAGTACGGAGTACATACCAAAGAGGGTTCTAGTCGGATGTACCGGTACATACAAAGGGATCGTCGACCTATAAGAAACAGGCTCATTCTTTTCCCGATGGACATTTACGTATCATGACCTGACCCATCATCACCACTATGTCCAGAGTACCAGCTAGACTGCCCAACTACCTTGTCTTGGCGATACCGTGCAGGCTAGTAGTTAGGGTAGCTTAACTATATGGTTTCAGACGAGGGCCTTGGGATAAACCTTGACTTAGCAAATTAGTAGCTATAGGTATTATAGTACAACAATAGAAGTTTGTAATCAGATCAGATCGGGATGTACATGTATTATTCGAACATTCAAGATGGTTGGAATAGGATCAAGTCAAGCTACTTGCACATGCGCAACGGTAAACGCTCAGGGGCAAGTGCGTGGCCACATCCCATGCACCTGCCAAACGCCCGGACCAGCTCATTAAATACACTAAAATACGTAATTTACTGTAAATTACCCTTGTTGACGCTGCCACAACGTGTCCCGCCCCCCCATTCCTTTCCCCCCTGATGATGAAGTGATCCTCCTCTTCTTCTCTGATCCTTCGACCTCATTCACTCATTTTGCTCCTTTCTTTCTCTCCCTTGTCTGTTTTTACTGTGTTCACCTGTTGACTTTCAACAGCGTTTTTGACCTGGGCCAACCTCCCCTTGCATCGGTCGCCCGCATTGCCCGTTTTCCCTTTCTTTGATCTCGTTGCCCGGACGGTTCTACAGAAAGTCATCGTTCGCTCCTTACAGCTTTTCTAAGCCCACACTCGTTTTTCACCTTTTGGGGTCGTTTCAGATTTATCTAAATCCCCTTTCCATTCGTTTTTATCGCCAAATTATTGCTTGCGCCTATTCGGTCTGTCTCATCGGTTGCCATCGAGACGTTGGATACAATAATCTTGCAATTGTGAATTTATTACGACTGTCCGAAGCCTGCTTGTGTTGGAAACTCAAATATTCCAGGCGATCTACCTCTTTGTCACACCCCCTGATTGTTCATGAGGTGTTGACAGACGGTGGTTATCGCATTTTTGTACACTGACCTTGGACTCGCTCTGAGCTATTACGTACAGAGTTGTTCAACATGCGTCCCGACGCCATTTCCGTTCTCGCAGCCTTACTAGCTGTAGGCGGTCTCCAGCTCGTTGCAGCTCAAGATGCGCCTGAAGCGCACGTTCAGCGGCCGCGCTGGTACTTCCCGCAGGAAGTCAAGCGAACGATTCGCAGAAACGCTGAGCCCGACCCTGGCTCGGACCTCGACGGTCTATTCGACAACTTGAAAATTACCCAAGCTCCGTCCTCCACGGCTACTACCACCCCCGAAAGCTCCGTCACCGCCCAGCCCCAAAAGGGACAGGAAGTCGTGGTTGTAACCATCTCGATCGACCCCAAGAATCCCGAGATCACCCACCGTATTACTGGTACTACAATCATTGGCGGTGAACCGACCGGTACCACTACCACGACTACACAGAAGACAGAGGGTTCGAGCACAGAGGTCACCAGTAAGAAGAGCTCCGAGGCTGCATCTGCCGATGCGGAAACCACACGAAAGCAGGGATCGCTGGTCGACTCATCAGTCAAGGCTTCGACTACGCCTGCTTCGAATAAATCCTCTAGCGACGGTCTCATTGGTGATCTGACCTCGGGTTTGGGGAACCTCCTTGGAAGTGATTCCACATCCTCGACTGCAACCACCTCCTCCGAATCATCGGCTAAGACAACCTCACCCGCGTCTTCTACGTCTGCTGCATCCTCCAGCTCAGGTCTCCTTGATGACTTGAGCTCAGGATTGGGTGGTCTTGTCGGGGAATCAACAACTAGCAGCTCCGCCTCTGCGACATCCACTGGCGCCTCTAGCGTCAATAAGATCAGCAGCGCATCATCGAGTGCAGCTTCGAGCACGACAAGCTCGGGGTCGGATTTCCTTGACCTTTTGGGCCTAGGTGATAAGTCTTCCACCGGCCAGAGCACAAGTGCTACTGTATCCTCGAGCACTTCTAGTTCGTCTACCATTCCAGTCAGCGTGCCTGCTTCCGCTACTAGCTCGCCGTCGACCACCCCCACTGGAAGTGCGACTGCAACTTCTGGTGATCTCGTGGGCAGTCTCATTTCAAGCGTGGATTCTCTGATTAGTGCCACCTCTACTAGCTCGCCGTCGACCACTCCCACTGGAAGTACGACTGCAACTTCTAGTGATCTCGTCGGCAGTCTCATGTCAAGCGTGGATTCCCTGATTAGTGCCACCTCTACTAGCACTGGTAGCACTGCTTTGATTTCGAGTGCGTCTACGTCCGGTGGTAGTCTTCTGCCACCTAAGTCGACTGGTCTCATTTCTGGCCCGGCAGGTACCAACACTGGTGTCATCCCTACCCCAACCAACACACTTGGATCAGTTCCCGTCCCGCACTCGCACAGCTCGGAGTCTACCTCTACATCTGGATCTGAAACTGTCTCTGGTTCTACCACCGCCTCGGCTCCTTTGTTAGGCACTACCACCACCTCTGTTTCCGGTACTGGTTCTTACGAGGGCTCCAAGGTCCCCATGCCCACCTCTCACCCAACCTCCACCCCTCGTCCCTTGTTGACTTCGACGACTTCGACGACCTCGACAAGCGAAGAAGTGAGCACGGCCAAGCCCACCGTGGAGCCTCAGACCCCGACCGAGACGCCGGCGCCCCCCACCAATGACACCGACTGGATGCCATCGACCATCCTTATCGTGCCTACTGTGACCGCCACCCAGAGCTCGACCTCCGGAGAGACCGCGAAGCCCACGGAACCCTCGCTTCCTGGCTCTATTACCCCATCGCACCAGGTGAACGTTCCTCCGTCTGACTCTATGTTACTTCAGCTTGGTTTCAATGACAAGCTGCCATGGTCGTTTGTTGCAACCACTGCTTTGTCCTCGTCCCAGATCTTCAACTACACCCCCCAGGCTATTGAGAACGCTTTGCCAGCCCTCGCTGCCAAGGATGGCCCAGTTATGTTTGCTATTGAGCCTTACTACAACTGGAAAATCACTGGATATAACGCCACTATTGCTATCTTCTATTTTCCTCGTGATCAGGTCGACGCACTGCAAGCGCTCAAGGTTAACCCCAACTCTGCTCTCTACAAACAGGAAAGCAAACCCATCAGGTCGTTAATGGCAATGGTTGACCCCACAATTCCCCTCGAGTTCTCTGGAAACTACCCTAATGGTAACAGCGACCCGTCTGGCGGTAACAATCACGGCGGCAGTGATGATGGCCCAGACAGTGGCAACAACGAAAACACCGATGGCTCTGCCGGCAGCTCCAAAGCTAAAGCTAGCTCCGTTGGAATCGGAGTCGGTGTTGTGGCTGGTGCTGCCGCTTACGGCGCGGGTATGTTCTGGGTTGCCCGCCGCTACCGCAAGAGAAAGCAGCTGCACCAGCGCTCTAGCTCGACCGTTGAGCAGATGAGCCAGGGGGTTCCGCCGCTGGCTCGATGTTCGCTGCCGGTGGCCGTGTCCCTAGCCATGGTAGCCGTGGAACTGCTCGTTCGCAGATGATCAGCGCTCCCGTCATGGCGGAAAACTCTTTGGGATGGAACTAGGCATACTTTTGACAATACGACGTATAAGCCACTTCCATCACCCTCCCCCTCATCTTGGACCCGACGACGACAATCAGAGGGCACCGGGCCTTCGAAGACCCTTATTTCTTCTGAGATAACTGCTCCTTTCAATGCGCCCATGCTCTCCCCACTCTCTGACAGAGGTAGGGACAGAGAGACCGCACAAAACTTCATTTTCATTGTCCATCATCCATCAAGGATTTACATGTCACATATCACGTATCTCTTCTTTTTTGTGCAATTTTTGACCGGCCACTTTTCTTCTCAACATGATACTCCGAGCGACGGTTCGTCGTCACTGCGTGTGTCGCGTTATCATTTTTTTTTCTTTCTTGACATATTCCCCCTTTTGTTCACCAAATACTTTTTTTTATCCCTTTACTTCTTTCAATGGCACTGGGACAACCAAATTTGGGACGAAATCTTTCTCTAATTTTGGCTCCCACTTGAAAGCCCTCTCTTATGAACTATTGGTCATTCAGTCTTTGGACTTGCACATTAATATTGGATTTGGGTGGCATATTTTTGATAGAGCCGATAGCTCTTTTCCCTGCCCTTATTTCATCTCTCTCCGTTTTTCCCTCTCTGTGTTGTATCTCGATTGTGTTTAACTTGTTTTCGCGTCTCTGTGTTTCTGTACAGATGTATGAAATGTGTCCAAGTACCACGTGGCCTTGTAGATGTGGACGTGAGCTTGTGAATGAGACGAGTAGATCTTCTTTTCTTCCTAAACCTGTCTTATGGAAGTAAATTGTAATCTAGGCAGGCTTCTTATAGCGTTTTAGGCCTTGGAGAATGTGGTACAATCTTTTTGCTATGATATACATTGGATTAGGGGACGCTTTCATAGATCAATTTGGAGTGAACATTCAGCTAATACATCAAGTTGAACGAGAGCGGATTTATGCGCCCCGAGGGTCCCAGGAAGTCAACCATCCATCCCGGGCAGAGTTGTATCCTTTTGCTCCCCTCTCGAAGAGAAGCTTAAGCACACCAAAATGACTTTTCGCTCTCGCCAGGTCAACAGCACACCTAGACACATTCTTCTTCCCTGTTGGGGCATTGATATCAGCTCCCTCGTCGAGAAGAAGTTGACCAGGTCAATATTGCCATGCTCTGCTGCGAAATGAAGAGGCGTCATTGAACGTCCAGTGCCTGTCTGTGCCATTGATATCAACCTTGTCGTGATCCATCATAAACTTGACCAATGGAGAACAGTAGCTTTCAGCTGCTGAGACGAGATATCCGGTTCTCCTGACCTCGAATCCGTATTCTTCGAGAAGTTCAAACATCTCGAGTACACCCCTGGTTGCTGCACCCTCCAGGCCACTCTTCACCTCAGAAACCGCGTCTGCTTCAGCAAGTACTCCGTCTAAAGATACTTGACCATATTGCAATGGCCCTTGCCTATCGCATAATATAAAGCACTTCCTCGTATCTATCCCCGACCCTGAATCCGTATTCCGCGAGGAATTCAAAAATATTGAGATCATCTCTATCTGCTGCAAACTTCAGGCCAACGTTGACCGCGGGCACGATATCTGCTTCGGCAATTTCTCCGTCTAGGATATGCTTGACCACATCGTAATGACCCTTGCCTATCGCAAACCCCAACCCCCGATAGGCTTTATTCCGAAGTCCGAATCCGCTTTTTTGGAGAAGTTCGAACATCTTGAGAACCCCTCTAAATGCTGCATTCTCTAAGCTAGCCTTAACATTGCCAAACTCATCTGATTTGGCAAGTTCTTCGAGATTGGACACTTTCGCACTCCTATTTCGCAAATATGGGCGGCTTTTATTATCAAGGAAGCGTCCGTTTCCCTTTGACTACCTCGGAATATGCCCAAGACTGCGATCTTTACCAGTTTCCCAGAGTAACCGGAGACGACATTGCGGATAAAAGCAAAAGAGATTTCTTTGCAAAGGAAATTGCGCTCCTACAGATAGCACAACTGGTGCTTTCTATTATTGTCCGAGAAACACAGGACCTGCCTTTCTCTCAGCTGGAAGCGCTCACACTCTGTCTGGCTGTTTTTGGGATAGGCACCTATGTTGTATAATGGTACAAGCCTCAAGACATAGGTGTTCCAATAACAGTCCAGCATAAGAAACCTGGCGCTGAGCCACTTAGATTTATACAAAATCATGACAATTTCTGGGAAATCTTCACCAATCACCGAAGCTCCCATGATGACCAAACTGTCGAACGCATCAAGAATGACAATATCCCCTTGGGATCATCCAATACAGCTCATGTGGCAGTTCCCTTGGCTGTCATGTTAGCGGCATTCGGATGCCTCCGTCTGATATCTTGGAAATTCCATTTTCCTACAGAGGTTGAAAAGCTTCTATGGAGAGTTGCCACCGTTCTCTCCATCACAGTTCCCATGACCGGCCTTGCGATCATCTCCCTAACGCAAATTACCGTTCGGACAGATAGGACGCGCGAGTTTATGCGTGGGTGTATAATTCTGTTACGGGAGATCTCTTGGCACTATCGAGACTATGTAATACAGAGTTTGTGTATCAGCAGGATCTGTATCAAGCAAAAAAGAGGCTAGAAGATATTTATGCTGCTGTGGACAAAGAAAAGAGGGAACAGACACATTATAAGGAGATCTTCTCGGACAGAATTACACACCCTGTTTTTCTGGATTGTATGATCAGTTTCATCCAAAATGGACCTCAGTCCAGGAGAGTCGGACCAGTCAGCCTACCTGCGAAATTTCTATCTGATTTTAAAGAACTGGTGGATTGCTTGAACGGAGACGGGCTCAAAACAAATATTGACAACGCAAAGACTAATGTTTTCCCACGAACGACATCCTTGCCGAGCGAGGCTGCCGAAGGAATTCAACTTGTGCATTCTATATGCTACTAGTTTGGTATATTGCCTCTCCAGACTGATGATTCTGGGGCTGGCGGCTCTTAGTCTGCGTTCTATGCCAGACGAGGTATACATAGAAACGTGGACAACGAATATCCCTGCTATTTGATAGCACCTAATGTACGAGATATGACATACGACTATGAGGAAATGTGAGATATTAAGAATTTGAATACATAACAAGAGACAAGAGAAGTAAATGTACCGCAAGATACTAGGTAAACCACTATATATGGAATCAGTCAGCTATAACAGTCTACCGTGGCTGTTTCATCTTTCGTGTTACACTCTGTAGCTCTGTAGGTTAGATGAAAATCCATAGATTCATACACCGAGCCCTAAGATAATAACCAGCATGATCTTTCTGTCAGGGCATCGGAATTATACAAAGATAAAAGACACACTCTTCTGTTGAATTGCCAAAAGTGCCAACTTGTCCAAATCTGAGTCAGAGAGCTCTTGATCATTCTGTTTCTGTGCCCTAATAACCAGGTTTTGCTCATAATGGTGCTCGAAGTTAACTTTGGTGTCCCAATTAAAGAGTGGCGAGCTCTCACGGAAGAAATATGGTTGACCGTTCTTCGTAATGAGGTCAAACTTCTGCCGATGTGCGGATTGGTGAGCTGTTATGAATTCACCTGAAGCTGTCACTGCAACACTACAGTGCCAAGGACTCATAGAAAACGAGTTCTTTTGCGGAATAAGGGGGAAGGACAGCTTCGTCTGCCCTGATGAGGGATGGATGGAGAGACGCAGTGAGTCGGGATAAATTTGGCGTACTAGCTCCGCGTACTCCTATAATCCATGAAGTCAGACTTGCTATCATATATAGCTTTCGAGATTACCTACTACCCCGCGTACAATCATTGTCTTTGCAATCATCTTGATCCTCTTCTTATATTGTTTGGGGCCAGCGCAGTCCTTCGTCACTGGGCTGAATTTAAGATCAACTTTCATGAACTTGTCATATCCTGCATTGTATTAGCCATGAGACATTGGCTAGACCCAAAAACCATACACTTACCGTTATAAGTCCTCAGATAATCCTCATCGCTTTTCAAAAACTTATCGACATCAAATCCCGGCAGTCCACACCGTCGATGGAGTTCAGCCCTCGATAAACCACAGAGCTTCACATAATCTGATTTGGAAATGTGCGCGCCAGTATGAAGACCCAGCATATTCATAATACGATGGAACTGAATACAAGCATATCCCTTCTCGACAGCGATCTTCCGCAGTCGATTCCCATACTCCCATACCTCCTCATCAGAAATCCCCGTAAGATCTCAATTCCAGAAATCAAATTAGCGTCAAATCCTGCATGCAGCACCCGAATAAATAGGAGTGTTTAATCTCACCATTATAGCAGATCCCATCTGTAACAATAACGACTACCGCACCAGGCGGGTAAACAGCCTTAATATCCCGACACAGATTCACCAAACGTGCCAAACCAAGCTCGTCCCCCAAGTCCGGAAGCGCACCTAGCACCTTATCCATGCGGTTATTACTCTTCATTGGAAAAGCAGGTAGAACCATAGGAATCGCTCTGTTGGCTACGATATGTGTCTGCACACGTGGGGTGAACGATGACCGACCGAGCCATTCACCGGCTGTGGTTGTGCGCTCATGGGAGCCGTAGCGTTCCACAATGTTCATTATTTCCTCTGCCTTTAGGCGGGTTAATGTGGGACATATTGCAGGTGCGCCAGGATGGGTGTCAGTGGTGACTTCGGGTTTTTGGGGGACTGGGTGTGGGTTTGAGAGGAAGGATACTTGGGTCTTTGGAGTGGAGGTGATGCAGTCTAAAGAGATTATGCCTAGATGGGCGGAGACTTCGACTACCGTTGGTGATAGCATTTTGATATAGTTCATGATAGACTGTAGTGGGGAGGTCAGGGTTGCAGCCAGGGATTGGGAAGGGGTAAAATTCGCTATTCGAAGGCACTTGTAATTTATAGGAGTGGTACCCTCAAATATTGTATTGGAATTTGGTGGCTGTTTATCGCCACCTTTTTCTTGGTTTCTTATGCTCTTCGTGGGTTTAGATTGTATTCGCCGTTCAACCTTCCATGTGCCTCTTTCCCCGTCATTTTTATACTTCTGATAACTTCGGTGGATACTTGAATACTACGCTGTTGTACAAGAGAAAATGCTATTATCTATTGTCTGACTATATGTGCGCTGAAATCAGTCATGACTCGGAGTATGACTGTTTTCATTTGTCCTGATTAGGCATTTGATTGAAGAGCCCCGGAGAACAATATGGATAATATGAGGAGATACATGGCATTGCAGACGAATTTATTGTCACTTGATCAGTCAAGGATACCCTCACAATTAATGAAATTTATGACAGTTGAACTGACTTTTCATGCATGATTTGGCACATTCCATTTCCCAATTAGGCTCGATTAGGAATATCTTACACGAGAGGTCGCAATAGAGAGGAACCAATAAATGTCTCTGGGAAAAGCTTACGATAATAAAGGTAAGATGTCGACGTGATATTTCATTCTTTCGATGGCTGAAGGCTGACACATCACGAGAAGTCCAAATCTAAACCACTCTAGCTTCACGGCCTGACTATATTCATACCAAGACCGGGGCATATTCCACTCCCAAACCTCCGTCATTTTACATGAGGTCAGAACCATGTAGCCAGTTGGATCTCTTCTACTCTCTTTTTTCCCTTTCTTTCCCTGTCTGCTCCGCGACACAGTGAATACAACGAAAGCTTCCTATCTACAGAGATATCTCACTCGGTAGCACGAAACCTTCGCATCGAGTATTACTCCGACGCCTTGATCAAGAAAATTGAGCCCATCCGTAACCTTGTTAACTTCTTTGGGGAAACCCCATTCACAAGAAGTAAGAAGCTTCCTTTTCCCGCTCCCAGCGATACTCCATTCGCTTCGCAGTCTCCTTCCCGACTTCGATACCACCATAATGCGCCGAAATAAACTCTAGCATCACATCAATCCCAGCAGTGATTCCAGCAGATGACCAGATCTCAATTCCAGGTAGCAACGATAGGTCGTCAGACACCACATCCTCAGGAATACTATCACGCAGCCACCGTCTGTTGCGCTGCCACTTCACATCGCTTGTTTGTTTAGTTATATCGTCGTAGCGAGCCGAATTCGTTGTTACCTGACATCCATCCAGAAGCCCAGTCTGGGAGAGGACATGGCTGCCTGTACAAACCGTAATGATGCTGTGGCGGACATAGGGCGCAACAGCAGTCAGAAAGTCCTGGACCTCCTGCGTGTTGGAGACCTTGACTTCTTTGAATGTAGTATTGATATCGTAAATACGGTTCAGACGTGTCCCCGGGCCACCTGGGATGATCAATACATCGATAGGTTTGAATTCACCACTTCCATCGTCGGCAACTTTTCCCATTTTCAGGGCAGAAATCACATCAGCGAAGGTACACTGTGGCAACATTTGCTGATTGCAAGCTGTATTGATGTTTGAGGGGAGATCAAATCGCCATTTTGCCTTGGCAGGTGGGATTGGTTTCACTGAGACTGGGTCGAGAGTTGCGGCTGATACAGTCAGGGTGATGCTCGATGTGTCAGGGTACTGCGTACGGATGTTGAGAATGTCCAGTGGGGCCGCCACATCCAGTAATTGGAAGCCTGGGAATAATGGAAGGTGGTAATGGAGAGGTCTGAGTGCCATCTTGTGTAATACTCCGTTGGAGAATCCCCGTGATGAGATGAGTTGGAAAGAACGTGGTAGTAGGGAGGTCATTCTGAAACAGAGAGGGTCATGCTTTTTGTTGATACAAGCTATTCCAAGGTCAGTTGATGCAACCAGGGAGAATGTATTAGATTGATGTGAGGATGACGGCAAAGATATAATGTAATACGCAAAACAAGTAGTTATAGTATGTTATGTGGCTTAAGGGTGATACCTAATTTAGGCTTAAGATCCGCCATCCTCAGCGTAAGACAAGTAGATACACAGCATAAGTATCTACTTTTTTTTTTAAAAAAAAAGAGTAATTACAATAATTTCAGGCCCCCGAAAAGTGAGACCCGACTACAAACAACGCTCCAGTCAAAATGCAAATACCCCCAAACAATTGCGCGTACAGGTAATCACCGCCCCGTAACGCGATTAGCTGTCCTGCTATGTAAGGTCCAGTCAGAAGTGGAATGCTATTGATTGTGGTGATCATCCCAACACGTGTGCCGGATTTTTCTGGGTCTTTGGATCCAAAGTACGCATTGGCAGCGGGCAATTGACTTTGCGCACAATTAACCAGTAATCCATATACCGTGGCCCAAATAAACATGCCAACATGGGTGTGTACACCAATCCACCCTAGAATGGCGATGCCGCAAGGGATTGAGACTGCAATGCAAGTCCTTACTGCGCCCAGCCACCGGTCGGCCACGAATGCGGATGCGATGCGGGACGGAACACCAACGCCGTTCATCAGGATGAGAAGGAGAAGTGAATCAGATGCGGTAAATCCTGTGTGGGCTTGGGCATATTGTCTAAGCTATAGATATTGTTAATTGTACCGCCAGCACAATGTGAAACAAAACTAAACTTACATATATGTATGCAAAGTAAATACCCTCGAAGATCAGGAATGAGCCGATCGAAAACAGGAGGTAAGGGCGTTCACGAAAAGCGCTGAAATCAACCCAGGGAGGAGGATTCCGAGGTATAATCCGAGACCTGGTGAGCTTGACAATTATAACGCTGTTGAACAGGATAATGGCCGCCATGATCCGGACAGTCCATGCGAAACCAATGTTATTGAAACACTTATAAGCGACCACTGGGAAAACCATCCCCCCAGTCGCTGCCCCGCAAGAAGCCAACGAGACGGCCATCACTCGTTTGGAGCTGAAGTATGTCGCATATAGCGAGATCATGGGGCTGAAGACGAGTCCGTGGCCAATTCCACTGACGATGCCTTGCGCTAGCCAGAAATGCCATAACTTTGTGCCGAACGAGGTCGCCAATACTCCAGCAACTTGGAAGAGACATCCGATGACGATACATTGTCTCAGATAGCCCGCGTCCATTGCCCGGCCTGAGAAAGTCGCCAAGAAATGGACGAGGAACATCTGCACCGCTCCGATCCAAGACGCATTTGCCGGGCTGACATCGAGAGTTTCAACGTAGTATTCCTGGAAAAATCCGTACCTATATCGTGTCAATAGGTAAAAATTACATCGGATGTGACATGGCCCCCTTACGATGTGATATAGCCCCATACATTGAACACAACCAGATGTCCAGTCAGAACTTGGGTCCAGGCCACGAGTCCTCCATCGGGGATCTCATTGTTCTCGGCTTTGCGATCTTCATCTAGTTGGCGAGGATCTGGGGGAACGAATAGTGGAGATTCTTCAGTGAGAGTAGTGTAGGCAGTGGCCGATGTTGTGTAGGACGAACCGGCGGCCGTCGAGCATGCTGCAGCCGCATTGCTCTGGGATATGTTTGGCTGGCCCATGTTGTTTGGGCAGGCTCCAAAGAGCAAAAAGAAAGTATCTCCCAAGACTCGGAAAATAAAGTGGAAGGTGGCCAGTATATGAGAGTTGAATTCTAAAATGTCACTCCCTCGGCTACATTATGAAGTCGATGTACCCGCTTCCCTGCAGAAAGCTTGCAGATACGGTCTGGTTTTTTACAGAGTTCAAGTATGTAGTACTACTGTAGGTAAGAATACCTTCAAAGTGTGCAGGTAACTTAATAAAATACTGTAAACTATATGTGGCTGTAATCGGATATTCAATGTTGATCTTGACGCGGAGGGATAACAATAACATCCGAACACACAGCCCCATTTCGCTGCACATATCTACGAATTCCTTTGCATTCTATTGACAATGAAATTTGAATATGCCCCAGATGATGTGCCCCAAAAGATTATCGAGGTGTTCAAGCGGTTTTGCTTGCATTCAAGCAAAGATAGCCATCTGAAAGACGTCGGAATGGTGTTTGAGTCCGTGTCTGAGAAGTTGAAGGTCAATATCACGACAAACCAGCCGATAACCATGGTCTTACCTGCATTCCCATGGAAAAGCCCCAATCAGGACAAAGTCCTGGGAGACTGGGCTGATCTAGGAGACGAAATGGGTCTGGCCAAGTTGAATCACCTATGCGATGAGATCTCAAAGGTCTACCCTTACGGTACGCGACTAATCCTCATTTGTGATGGACCAGTGTATAATGGTATGACATTCTTGATCTCCATCCAAGAGGGGCATGACTATCAAGAATAGAACAAATAGACTGACGGTGTAGATTTGGTCGGCGTTCCTGACGACGAATATTACGACTATGGCATTGACCTACGCAAAATCGCCCAAAAGAAACATTTTTCTTCTATCCAGTTCATCCGGCTGATTGAATTGCTGGGATTAGGAGATGGCGAAAAAATTCCCAAGGCAGATTACCTACGTCTCGTTCCCACCTGCAGGGAGAAACTGATGTCACCCACATACTTCGACCCGAGATTTGACATTGAACATGAGTTGAAGACAAATCCAGATACCAAGACAACATATGAGAGTTATTTTAGTCGCATCTCAGAGGATCTAAAATGGGCTAATGGTTTTGACCCTGTTGTCGCGGCCGACCCAGCGCTCTACGGGGCTGAGGTGTCCAAGGTGGCGAAAACCATGATCAACCGGCTAATCGTAAGTTGCAATTTGGTTTTTCTGGAAACCTCGCTCCCTAGCTCACTGTCTTCTTAGGCATATGAAGCCCTCATTACCGCCACACTTGGAAAATACATCCGTCTCTCGATACACCCTTCATTAGGACGAAACAAGATCTCTATTCCCCTGCTACGGCAAGGTGACCTGTTTGGTGATATGCCATGGCATGCAAGTGTGGTGGTACTGTCAAATGGGGAGATTAAGACTGGCAAATCGCGAGACTTTCGCAAACTGTACGAGGTCGTTGTGAGGCATGGCCGACCTTACTACTTCAGAGAGCGGAGCCCGATGTACGAATGGGAGGCGGAGGTGGAGTTTCAGCATGACTACGATGGGTTGATCGTGAAGAACCCTTGTCAGAGAGCTCAGAGGCTTGGTAGAGATGATCGCTTGAAGCTGGCTCGCTTGATTGTGCAGTATCAGACCAAGTCGGTCCGGGTGGAGGGATTTGAAGTGTCGAATGACGTGTGACTGTTGGATTGTACTTGCTCGCTTGTGTTGATATGCTGATGGAAAAGAGAATACAAAATCCAGTGACAGGTGCTGCTTTACAATAATAACAATAAAAAAATAAAAGAGCAAAAAGGAACCTTGGGAAGGTTCCTAAGGTTTGTCTATCAAAATTAAGGTGATGGGTCTACCCCAAGTTCCTCCATTCGAAACCATGGGTTCTCGATTCAGACTAACCCGACTCTATCTATAGGATCAAAGGGTATTTAGATCTCATTTCTATTATTTTGAGCAGGGAGAGTTGGGTTGTTCATATTGATGATCTGGTGCTTGAGCCTATCATTTCTAGCTACTGGGAGGGCATATATGGTTCTATTGGTGAAGTCTACGAAGAGATTGCAACGTTGGCTATGTCATTGATCTTCCAGAATAGCAGGGAAAATATGACATCGAGGCAATCTTCACTAGTCATATCTATGACGATACAAATCGGAAAGAGGCCCTCACAATCCATAAAGATATGAGAAAAAAGACCACAGCAAGGTAGAAAAGATGATAATGTGTATTTTTTTCGGAATGGTTGGGTGTAGATGCATTGGCAATCCCAGTGGATATCAGTAGGAATAGGAGATTAGAGAGTGGGAAATGAAATGTACAATAAGTGGTAGGGAAGATGCGCCCATATGCAAGAGACAGAAGCAGCCAAAGAAAACGCTTCAGCCAAAACGATAAACAGAAGTCGGTGTATTTACCTCATTCCTTCTTCTTCTTATCCAACTCCGATTCAGACTTTCCAAACCAGCTCGTCAGCGATGCAATCCCACCACTGCCGGCCCGCTCAGTTGACTGGCGACGGAGATCACGCGCTCGCTCCCGCTCGGCCTTGTACTCATCCCAGGAGAGATTTGCCGCAGCAGCAGCACGGACTTCCTCCTCTTCCCGGGGAGGGAGGCTCTTGCCTGGCAGTGGGCGGACGGCTGCTTCGCCGCCGTAAGCACGAAGACCAGTGCGGAAGACCCATTCAACGGCCTCGTCGACGGGATGATCGAAAATATAGGGAAGGAAGGGGACAACAGCGAGGCCAAGCTATAACAAACGGTCTTTTAGCATCATATTCACCAATTTGCGTTTTCGCCCGAAAGGGAACGGTACATACCCCGACCGGCGTCCAGGTACGGATAAATGCAATCTTGACGTCCTTGACCATCTTCCCAGAATAGCGGACCACACTGTGAATTGTGAATGCGGGCAATCCCATACTTGCGATACTCTGGAACACCGCGCGCTTGGCCATGACCATGCGGTAGTCCTCCGCAAGTGGGATCTCGGGGGTCGGCCAGTTTGGTTGCTCATCCTTGGAATCGGCTGAGTTGCCAATCGTCATGTTTCCCGTCACCATGCCCTTGATAATCTGGTTCTGCGAAGGCTGTGTAGCATCCTTGTATGTCTCGCCTATGGGAGCTAGTGCGTTCCAGTTCCGGAGATAGGCCTTGTAGCCTTCGTGACCAACATCACCCAGCAGGTATGACCAGGAGATAGCGTAGGCAGAGCGTACGAGCCATGGGTGTGCGATAGGACGAAAGGACTCGCCGATATCTGAGGTGTAGGCGACATAGCGATGGGCGGACAGAAGGATCGTGCGGATGCGATTGGCGTACGCGGCATAACGGAACGGTGTATCTGTAGAGTTGACCGAGCTACCATCAATCGAGGTGCCCATCGTTAGTTTCTATTTCGTCTTTTCTTGCTTTTGGCGTTGCGTTGATTTGATCAAGGTGAGTCGAGTGGGACATAGTATGTCATCGACTCAAGCCGGGAAGTACCCGTGGATCGCTCCACTTCTGTTTCAGGCTCTCTCCGAGCACGCGACAACAATTTTCTGACCAAAAAAAAAATTTATATAGAAGAGTTAGAATTTCACATACTATTGGGAATAGAGGTCATCGTATAATTCGTCCTCGCGATCAACCAGTTGTTGCAATTTTGCGGGGAGCTTCTCCCGGACTACAGGCTTATCCAACAACTCCTGCGGGGGAGACTGAGGTTCATCCTGTTGACCACCCCAGACCATTGCGAAAGTAATATGGTATGGTCAGTTATGGGTTATGTAGTCGTTTTGAACAAAGCAACGCTTATTTGTGTATCAAATGACAGGAAACCAAGGCGAAATGGGTATATAATACAAAGAATGTAGGGGAGAACGAAGGAAAGCTATACAAGGGAGGGAACAAGTTATTATTAAAGGATTCTCATATTAACCGCACACTACTCCGTACAGCCGGAAGACACAAGCCATAGCCGGGATACACAGCATTAGCTGTGGGATAGTTCCCCCCGAGGTTCCCCTCCGAGGTACCGTTGGTGTCTTCCGGGTCGGGATCTGGAGTAAAAGTAATATACGGGATATCTCAGGAACTCAACGTTTATTGTCCATCATCAAAGATTTCAATTTAAGATTCGTCCATCAGTTTTCAACCCGAAATTCTCGGTGTTTTCGTGTTGTAATTGGATCTTCATATGCCAATGCACCCGTGATGCTCGTTCTGAGGAGGTCACATGATATCGGATACAGCCGGGTGGTCGAGCGCCCTTACCTAATCCACAGTTCCGAGGTCATGTGAATCGTCTAACCAAATCAGGAAAGGCGGTATCCGTGCCGACCTCGTCGTTTGGTCCAAGCCTGAGGATTCCGTCCACATCGCTGCCAATTGAACCTCTCGCTGTACCTCAATTCCAACCCTACAAAATGGTTGTTTACTACCAGATCGCCGGCAAGAAGGTCGGCTCCCACGTCGTAAGTTTTCATCTCTCCGAAAATACCGCTGCGCGCTCGCCATCCCTTTCTCTTCGCGCTTCGTGCGGGTACTTGTGAAACATGAAAGTTGACCGGGTTCTCTCCACCCTCTTCTTAGCTCGCCATGGCCACCCTCGGCAGCATGTTCGCCGGTTCCTGGCTCGCTATGTCCGGTGGTGAGAAGCCCAAGACCGCTCAGGGTCCTCCCATCAATGCCTCCTCCAAGGATGAGGAGAACTTCGTCCAGTATGTCCAACACCATCGCCGAGAACAGAGAACCGCCGACCACAAATTGGATCTCAATATCAGCCCCCGAGTGGCTTACTGACTGTTTACCTTGCAGGAACTTCATGAAGGAGGTTGATGGCGGCGAGAAGAAGCCCGCCGCTGGCCACTAAACCACACCTCGATACGGTTTATATTGATGGAGCGGTCGAACATGAGCAGCTAGGATTCTAAATTCAAACAAACTGCCTCCGCTCTCGTGCCATGTCTAGCGCGCAACGATGTGTATCCGCCCTACCGCGCCGTTTTTTGTGACCACGG